GAGCCACCGAGCCCGGCTCCCTTTTTTTTTTTTGAGTCCAAGTCTCACTCTGTCTCCCAGGCTGGAGTGCAGTGGCACGCTTAAGGCCACGGCAACCTCATTCTACTGCGCTCAGGTGATCCTTCTGCCTCAGCCTTCCAAGTAGCTGGAATTACAGGCATGCACCACCATACCCATACAGGCATGCGTCACCATACCCATACTACAATACATTTTTGAATTTATTGTAGAGATGAGGTCTCGCCATGTTGCCCAGGCTGGTCTCGAACCTGTGGGCTCAGACAACTCTCTCAACTTAGCCTCCCAAAGTGCTGGGATTATAGGCATGAACCATTGCACCCAGCTTTTTAAAAAAAATTTGAGTCGAGATCTCACTCTGTCACCCAGGCTAGAGTGCAATGACACAATCACAGCTCACTGCAGGCTCAACCTCATGGGCTCAGGTGATCCTTCTGTCTCAGCCTTCCAAGTAGCTGGGACTACAGATATATGCCACCACACCGGTTAAGATTTTTATTTTTTTTATAGCAACAAGGTCTTGCTATATTGCCTAGGCTGGTCTTGAACTCCTAGGCTCAAGTGATCCTCCCTCCTTGGTCTCCCAGAGTGTTGAGATTAATGGTGTGAACCACTGCACTTGGCCAACATATTACACTTTTTTTTTTTTTTTTTGAGTAGGAGTCTCACTCTGCTGCCCAGGCTGGAGTGCAGTGGCATGCTCACAGCCACCACAGTCTTGACCTGCTGGGCTCAGGCAATCCTTCCACATCGGCCTTTCAAGTAGCTGGAACCACAAGCATGTGCCACCATGCCTGGATAATTTTTTTATTTATTGTAGACATGAGGTCTTGCCATGTTGCTCAGCTGGTCTTGAACCCCTGACCTCAGGCAATCCTCTTTTTTCCACCTCCCAAAGTACTGGGATTACAGGCTTGAGCCACTGCACCCAGCAATATCACACTTTTTATTGTGATAAAATACATATGCTATAAACTGGCCCTCTTAATCACTGTGAGGCGTGTGTTCAGTGGCATTAAACACATCCACAAGGGTGTGTGCCATCACCACCATCATCTCTGGAACTTTCTTGTCTTTTCCAAGTGAACTCTCCCCACTAAACACACCCTCCTGCTCCTCTGCCTGGCCGGGCACCCTCTGTCCCTCTTCCTGTCTGTGGATTTGATGACTCTCAGGGCTACATGAGTGCACCCCTCCGGCATTCGTTCTGTGGGACTGGTTTATTTCCCACCCACGGCATCCTCAGGGTCCACCTGCCATCGAGATGTCCCTTCCTAAGGCTGGGTTATATTCCACCATTGGGGGGCACGTGGTGGGTGTCATTCCTCTGTGGATGACCACGTGGGTGCGTCACTCTGGGGGACTTTGCAGGAGGCTGCACTGACGAAGCCCCAACCTCTACCCTAGACCCTGTTTCTGTTCTCTTGAGCATGGGCCCTGTGAGGCTTGCTGAATGGGATGGTGACTGGATTTGGGAGGAACGTCCATCCTGTCTCCCACGGCTGCACCGGAGAACACGACAGCTTGAAGACAGTGGTCCTCGCTGGAGAACGGTGGTGGAGGCCTGTGGGGCTCTGGACTCTCAGGCCGGGGTCTCCTGGGGGGCGGGAGGGGAGGCTCTCACACCACCTGCAGGCTCCCTGCCCCTCCCCACCCAGCCACGGCCCTGCCAGAGCCTCCAGAGCTTCCCAGGCTTACCCCAGGGTCTGGGGAGACCACACTCCAGGGCCAGTGGTCGCACACACGTGCTCACTCGCTTGTTTACTCATTCATTCACTCACTCACGAGCTCACGCACTCATTCACTCTTGCAATTGTTCACTCACTCACTCACTAATTCATTCATTCACTCACTCATTCATTCTTGCACTTGTTCACTCATTCATTCACTCACTTGTTCATTCACTCGTTCATTCACTCATTCATTCATCACTTATTCAGACTCACTCAATTGTTCATTCATTCGTTAATCACTTATTTACTCATTCATTCACTCAGTCACTCACTCATTCTCTCACCACCGCTGTTGAGCACTGCGGCGAACCCCACCCTGCCTCAGGCACTAGGGTGCAGAGCGGCAACACAGACCTAACCACCTGCTCCAGGCTTGCCTTTGCCCGGGAGAGCAGCTGCACAGTCTCTCCTTCCCTCCAGCATTTCACTCTCTTATTTTGAGGAGGTATAGAGAGAGACTGAGGCCCAGATGTCAGCGTCAGGGCCAGAGCCGAGCCCAGGTAGTGCTGCTCCTCCTGCCCGGACCCCATTTCTTTCCTGTGGTTTGCCCAGAAAACTCCGAGTTAGCCTGTGGGGGAGGACGGCTCCAGAACCTTTCAGGAAAGGAAAACAGGCCCTGAAGTTGGTGCTCAAGCCAGCTCCATTCTTTCCCACCGAGAGGGGGGCAGGGGTGCAGCTGGGAAGACATCCCTGCCCGGGCATCCTCTGGTGTGGGGGTGTCAGGCTCAGGAAGACGGTGGGTGTCGGGGGCGCAGGTGGGGTGGGCGTGGGTCTCTCAGTGGCCTTGCTGAGTTCCTGCTCCGGCAGTCAGGGCACCAGGGGGCGACCCGGTCTCCATCCCAGGAGGCTCGGAGGTCCACATCAAGGGGAGGCCGGGCCCACATCAAACAGCCTCGTGGGCCCAAGGAGGGTTGGGGGCTTTCGTGGGCAACAGGCCCGCCATTGTGTTGCCATCCCGGCCACGTTGGCTCCTTCCGCCCCAGCCCTTTGTTTGGTTTTGAATAAATAAACGAGGTGTCTTTGGAATTTCCACTTCTCTATCAAAGCCTTTCTCAACTGATCTTGGAGAAAAGCGAGCTATCAGCCTTGTCACGTTCTTGAGCTGAGCTTCACGCAGGGAGGCGCAGAGCCAGGCGATGCCGTGTGGACTGAACTTGAGGCAGGGCCCACTGGAAGCTCGCTCCCAACAGGGTGCTGGGTGGTGCCCAGCCCACGTCCCTGGTGTTCACAGCTGGGTGTTTATTTCAAGGCCACGAGTGGATGTCATCACCCAGGACAAGGCGAGACTTTTTTTTTTGAGTGGCGTCTCACTCTGTCACCCAGGGTGGAGTACAGTGGCACGAGCCCGGCTCACCGCAGCCTCAACTTCCTGGACTCAGGCAATCCTTCCTCCTCAGCCTCCTGAGTAATTGAGACTACAGGTGTGCATCCACACACCTGGCTAATTTTTTTAAAAAAATTTTGTAGCCGGGCTCGGTGGCTCAGCCTGTAATCCCACACTTTGGGAGGCTGAGCCCACGGGTTTGAGACCCGCCAGGGCAACTTGGTGAGACCTCATATCTACAATTAAAAAAAAAAAAAAAATCAGCTGCGCGTGGTAGCGTGCACCTGTAGTTCCAGCTACTTGGAAGGCTGAGGCGGAAGGATCACTGGAGCCCAGCAGGTCGAGGCTGTGGTGGTCAGGAGTGTGTCACTGCACTCCAGTCTGGGCAACAGAGTAAGACTCTAAGTCTAAAAAAAAAATTTTTGTAGAGATGAGGTCTCACTATGTTGCCCAGGCTGGTCTCTGACTCCTAGGCTTAAGTGACCTCCCACCCTGGCCTCCCAAAATGCTGAGATTACAGGTGTGAGCCACCACATCCAGTCAAGGTTGGACATTTTTAAGAGCTAATCAATTTAGAGAAAAAGATTAGGCAAATAGGTGTCCTAGCGGCAGGCAGATTCATCGAGAATCTTAATGATGCTGCCTGAATGCCTGGATATTGGACACTCCGACAGAGTCTAACACCTTCATCTTGCTGAGGAGGAAACAGGACCTGGGAACAGCAGAAACATGTTGGAGGTCAGAGGCAGCCAGCCGGGGACAGCTGGGGATGCCCCCTGAACCAGTGTCCAGACATGGGGTCACGCCCTGCCCCGGCCCCTCCACCCAGCCACTCTTCCCTGTGGACGAGTCATGACTGGCAATCTAGCTTGTCAGGTCACGCGATGTGGAATCCACACCTACCTTGTGTTTTATTTCTGGCAAGACATCCACCAGCTCCTGCAGCGTCTCGTGTGGGGCCCCCAGCTGCAGGGCAGACACGGAGGTTAGCTCGGAGAGGCTCAGAGGAGCGACTAAGCTAGCCATTCCCACTGTCCAGGCCTAGACTGCAGTGCCTGGTGATCGGGCTCCTCTGCTCCAGGAGAACTGCCCTCGCCAGCGGTTACCTTTAAAAACACGCCAATCACAGCCAGGCCATTTTCTCCCATCACGGCGTCCTTGTAGCTCTGGTATTTCACAGAATTCCAGTGAACCAAATGCAGCTGGAACAAAGTGGACAGAGGGTTTAAATTCATCATGACACAGCAAGGAATAAAACAGTCACCTCCTCTCTGGAGGGCAGATCCGCATGTCCATTTAATAATGGACACATTAGCCGAGCTCGGTGGCTCAGCCTGTAATCCCGCGCTTTGGGAGGCTGAGGTGAGTAGATCGCCGAGCCCACGGGTTCGAGACCTGCCTGGGCAACTTGGCGAGACCTCATCTCTACAATTAAAAAAAAAAAATTAGCATGGCAGTGCGCGCCTGTAGTTCCATCTACTTGGAAGGCTGAGGCGGAAGGATTGCCAGAGTCCAGCAGGTCGAGGCTGCGGTGGCTGGGAGTGGTCACTGCACTCCAGTCTGGGTGACAGAGTGAGACTCCAACTCAAAAAAAAAAATAATAATAATGGACACATTTAGCTGGGCTCGGTGGCTCAGCCTATAATCCTGCGCTTTGGGAGACTGAGGTGAGTGGATTGCCTGAGCTCGCGGGGTTGAGACCTGCCTGGGCAACCTGGCGAGACCTCATCTCTACAATAAATCAAAAAATTAGCCGAGCATGATAGCACATGTCTGTGGTTCCAGCTACTTGTAAGGCTGAGGCGGAAGGATAGCCGGAGCCCAGCAGGTGGAGGCTGCGGTGGCTGGGAGGGGCCGCTGCACTCCAGTCTGGGCAACAGAGTGAGACTCCAACTCAAAAGAAATAATAATAATAATGGACACATTTAATAATTTTGGTTTAATAGTTTCTTTAAAAAAATTTTTTTTTGAGTTGGAGTCTCACTCTGTAGCTCAGGCTGGAGCGCAATGGTTTGATCACAGCTCTCTGTGGCCTCCAACTCTGGGGTTCAAGCGATCCTCCTGCCTCAGCCTCCCGAGTAGCTCAGAAGACAGGCATGTGATACCCATGCGCCACCCATGTTTGGCTGATTTTTTATTTTTTGTAGAGACTAGATCTTCCTATGTTGCCCAAGCTGGTTTCGAATTCCTGGGTTCAAACAATCTTCCTGTCTTGGCCTTCCAAAGTGCTGGGATTACAGGTGTGTACCGCTGCCCTGGCCTATTAATTTAGTTCATTGAATGAATGAAGTTGCTGCCGCCTGGTGTGTGAGATTCCAGTCCACCAGCACTTTTCAGGCTTCCAAACCCTTAACAAAAGCCCCAGAAGGAGGTGCCTAACTCTCTCTGGTGGGAGACAAAGGAAAGGGTTACTTTAATTTCATAAAATTCAGAGGGTGGTCGGGTGTGGTGGCTCAAGTCTGTAATCCCAGCACTTTGGGAGGCAGAGGCCAGAGGATTACCTGAGCTCAGGGGTTTGAGACTAGCCTGGGCAACTTGGTGAGACCTCACCTGCACAATAAATAAAAAAAATTAGCCAGGCGTGGTGGAGCATGCCTGTAGTTCCAGCTACTTGGAAGGCTGAGGTGGAAGAATCGCCTGAGCTCAGCAGGTCGAGTCTGTGGTGGCCAGTAAGCATGCCACTGCACCCCAGCCTGGGTGACAGAGTGAGACTCCAACTAAAAATAAGTAAATACATCAAAATTCAGAGGGTGCCAAAAATATATATACACATTTTAAGAAAGGAAAAGTCTAGCTGGGCTTGGTGGCTCAGCCTGTAATCCCAGGGCTTTGGGAGGCTGAGGTGAGTGGATTGCCTGAGCCTGCGGGTTCGA